CTCGAACAATTACGTGTTCGAATTGTTGTTGTTGAAAAAAGGTGATGATCACCCAGTAAAGTTTGTAGTGGGCTATATGGGGCTGACAGTGGACGTCACTTGTAGTGTTTGGATATAAAAAGTTATCGAACATATTGCGAGTTGGAAACTCGGAATAGTATCTTTCAGCGCATGTGGCATTTTTGGATAACGATTTCGTCTAGTAGTTTCCGAATCGAGTGGAGTTAGCTTCTATCTTCCTTGAATTCTCTGGATATTTTATCCAGAGTTTAAGGAGGCGAACCAAAACTATTCTAGAATGTTATACTCAGAAGCCCACAATTACTCAAGTTTCTGAAACCTTCCAAAGAATTCACGTTGACTTCTAATGCTACTGTTATATAAGATTGGGAAAATCTTACTTCTGAGCGCCTCTGGTAGATTGCTGAGTGACTACATCAGTTGGCGGAGAAATGAGTGGGCTGTTGACTTCTGAGTGCGGCTTGGTGGACTTCCGAGCGGATGCAGGAAATATGAACGTCAATGAAAAGTAATGTATTGATGAAAAAGTAGTGCTACCTGTTTCAAGGGACTACTTCACGCAGTGAATTGTGCTACCCTGGGGCATTCCTATTTCGTTTGCAAAGCGAATGGCATCAGCAAGCGCTTGACACTCGAGATATTCAATAGAGCCGTCATATTGCAACACTTTCCACTTGTACACGCCGCGCTGATTCTTCCACGTACTCACCACACCAGGAATGTTTTCGTGTGAACTTGGATTCTCGATTAAGATGGGAACGTTTAGTAGACGACTTGGTTTCGCTAACAGTAGCGCAATCAGATTGTCAACATAAAAATGCTGTTGAGTTGCCATCTCGAGCCAACGCGGGGGGAACTTTCTGTGGACGACCGAGAGGCTTTCGCGCCGGATGTGCTTGCATCATTACACTCAGCGGAAGCACTTCAAGTTGAAGTCTTCAACACCATTCAATAAAATGTTTCTTACATGTTACACTCACTTGTCCTCTCCCACCCAGAAGTCCTCCGTGTAAAAAACAGGAAGGACATTACTCCGCCATTACAGAAAAGGCTCATAAAAGTCCGCTTCTTCGCTTGTCCGATCGGAAGTCCGCATGTTGCCGCTCAGAAGTAATCCGCACCCGTTTTCCTACAAGCGGATGAAATCGCGTTGCAAGACCTAGGTCAAGCATATCCAGCTGGAAGCTCTAAAGTCAGCCCGTTCAAGAAGGTGTGTTGCGATAACCACAAGTCGTGACCAAGTTTAGAGCAAGCTTCGCGGTGGTTTCCGACATCTTCGGAACCAACGACTCCTCAGGTCGCTAAGCCCAGCTGTGTTGCAGGTAGTTGTTTGTTAGACGAAGCTCTTGGTGTTGGTCTTTGGTTTGTCGGCGTCTTGCCACGTCGAGCAGAACCAGCTTCGCAGCGGCCAAGACCTCCAACGCACCTAGCCAATTCACCGGTGCAGTTCGATTTTAACAGTCGCCACACCACTCCCTAAGGGGCAGCCTGAGATCAACTCATGACCCTCACCCAGGCTAACATCCTCCGTAATGTACAAGCGAAAGACGTCTTTTCTACTAGTAATGCACTCAAGGGATAGAATCTTATCTTTATTTGCAAAGGTGCTATTTTGTATCATAAGAATTATCTACGAGTAAAATTTAACAAAAATCACTGAATTATATCCATCGAATTTTGCCAAAAACGATTTATCAAGTGTTTTTTTAAAAATAAAATTTTATATAAAAATTAGCAAGAGTTGGTAAGGTTCTGCGCGTTTTATTGAATTAAACCACATGCTCCAACGATTGTGTAAACTCCCGTCAATTCCTTTGAATTTCAATCTTGCGATTATACTTTTTCAGGCGGAGAGCTTAATGCGTTAGCTATTATATCTAAAACTTCTAAATATTAGCACTCATCGGGGTGTCTAATCCCGTTCGCTACCAAGCTTTCACTTCTCAGTGTCAGAATATACCCAGATAATTTGAGCTTTAATTTGTTTCTTTCAACTTAAAAAATCCCCTACAAACCCCTCCAACCGATACGCGTGTTGCTGATCAGCTGCTCTGTCGTTCAGTTCCTGATCTGAGACCAGTGACCTCCCCCCTAGTTCCCGACTGCAAGTGGTGTCACCCCGTGATACACGCAAGTAACAGCATCTCATTCGTTTCCGCCGTCATCTTCTCCATTCCGCTACCTACATGGATGCCCCGCCACAGTCACGACGTGGCACATCGTGGTTGATATAGCGATTGATCCTCGATAGAACCAGGATTTGTCAATTTCCCGTAAGAAGCTAATAAAAAGAATGGTGTAAATTATTGTGGATACCAACCAAGATGTTCAATTTATTTGCTAATCGACTGCGCTAATAAGACTGATTATTTATATTTATATATATGAACAGCAAGTTATTTTTAGTGACCAGTTATCTAAATTAGTGTCCGTTTTAAATAATCCCATCTCGTTTATATAAACATAGATTTCTCCGAATGCACATGCAGAACTGGGCAATCCAAGCACCTGGAACATATATACACACACAATGGAAAAGACACGCGCATTAGTTGCAGTTAAAGTTGGTGAGTTTGGACACGCTAGCAGAACCAGTGAGCCTGTTGAGAATGCAGAGTTCGAGTACATTGCAGACAAGCTATAAGTGAACTAACTGACTCTCGAGTCCTCTCTACCGCTTACTATTATTTAATAATGCTAATTCTGATTAATACTCTGATTTACGACCATAAAACCTTTATTTAACCCCTTCACTTCCGAATTTTGGGACACCAAACACGTTATTCACGGTACATTAATGTCGTAACATACGCCATAGCTATTTACTTCTTTTCAATATGGGGTGCATAACCGCATGCGGGAAGACGTATAAGTTCTCCACAGGTTTCTTGAGCAAAGTCGTCACTTATACAACATACGTAGGCTGTTACTGTTCTCAATGTCGTAACTTGCCCCCGGTCATGAAAAGAAAGGCGAACATAGTTATACAATGAATCCTGCCATACCAACAAAGAATGCACATCAGTGTAATAAACTATACTTAGGGCCTGCCTAGAACAAGCAATCATCTTGGACGATGCTTATTACACCATTACAGATGCGCACGCACACTAATCATACCTCATCAGTTTCACATTCCTCACCTTCTGCATCGTCCTCGTGTAGCTCCAGTTCTCGGCGCGTTTTCTTCCGCTCCCCAGCCACTTGTCCAGGTCGGCGAAGAACAACTTTCTTGCCCAATGTTACTGGAATGCTTTGGCCGCACTCGAAGTCTTCGTGCCAGATCGCGAAGCAAGTCTTGGTGACACCTTTGAAGCTGTGGCGGATCTTGTTGCACAGCCAGCATTTCGCCGAGTCAACAGAGCAGCGCTCACAGTAAAACGTGGTGGCGTACGACTTTTTCTTGGGGTTGCTTCGCAGCAGCGCGCGTACCTTACAGGATCGCTGTCGGCGCTTCTGTACGCCACTCACCGTCACCCAATCTTCTGACTTCTCAAGCGCATGTGAAAGCCGAACGTGTGTCCTTCTGCGCTTCTGGGAGTTGGCAGGCGGCGTCACATCCACACCAGCAAAGTCTGCTGCCTTCAGCTGAAGAAGTTGGTTCTGTAGAATGCAAAAGCAGTCACCACGAGACATCGAAGGTGTGCCAGCCAGCCGTGCCGTCTCCTTGTGCGAAATATACGCATTCACTAGCGCTAAATCCACAAACCCCAAGAACAAACACTTGTAATACTTGGTAAACCTCGTAGACGTCTGCAATGAGAATCGCTGGAGGCGGAGTTGGTCGTGGACGTCCACTCCGCCCATCCAGCGCTGGTAATCATTGACGGCTGCCGGGCATGGGACCGTTTCCGGCCCAACTCGCTTCGGATTCCTCTGGATCGACGAGACTGCCATGGAGGAGCCGGTGCACAAGTAGTGCACCGGTTTGCGATCCCACCAATGGAACGCAACCATGCTTGGGACTGCCGTCGAACGGGAGAACAGGAAGAAGCCTCGAGGAATAGCCGCAGATCTAGTTTTCCGCTGCTCTTTTACTTGTTTGTCAAATCCTAGTCTATCGGACATTATAGTCCCAAACCACGTAAAACACTCATACTCAGCAACTCAATCGCCAGTAGTATCGGTGAATAGAAACGATCCACAACAACAAGATGCCATGGGTGACGCTGTTTTGACTCCAGAACCATCTTCATGTTTCGGACGACTGCTGCATCTCCTGTCATGTGATCAAATGAAGTGTCTCCACCTTCTCCGGGGTTGCGCTTTCCAGCATACATCTCAAATCTAGTAAGTGACGACATAGTCAATCAAATATTAGTACCGATCCCGTCACTTACGACATTAGCAAAAAAAAATCAGACGAACCTGTGGCAGTAGGCGGTTCTCGAATCACACAGCATAAACATTTGCGACCCGTACCGATGAGGCTTATCGGGCGTGAACATGCGAGTAGTGTTGCGCCTAAAAGTTGAAGGCAGCACCCCTTCGTCGAAGGAGAACACAGCAGGGAGAGTCCAGCCAGCCAGAAACCGCTGCTGCAGCTTGTCGATAACTGGACGAAGTTTCCATAGTTTGTCTCGTGTGCGATCTGCCTCGTTATCTACGAAGTGTAAGTCTCGGAGAATCTCCTGACACCTGATGCGTCCCATCAACCACCCGAAGTTACCTGCTGGAACCGCACCGTCCTCCGTCATTGACCAGTGAGGTGCAAAACTTCTCTTCTGGGGGCACAGCATTCGAGCGATGAGAAGGCCAAGGACATGCATTACTTCGTGTGTCTGATAGCCATCTTTCGCCTTCAATCGGCGGCGTACTTGCGTCAGTGTCTCTTTCTGACGAGGTCCATGTTGGGCAAGGGTGGCTTCTCGTCCTGGGGAACGTAGTTGACGTCCTTCTTTACATGAACTCGCGGTCGTAGGGCGCGGGTCGTCTCTACAGCAGCAGCATCTACTTGGGCACCGTCGCTCTCAGCCCTTGACACTTCTGATAGTTGTTGTAGGTTAGCATCACAATCTCGCTGGGAGTCTGCTGCATGAAGGTCACCAGGTGAGACGTCAAAGGCTCTGGTCACAGCGGCCTGCGAGAGATCAACCTCTGAGTCACTCTCAGACCCGAAGAGTTCATTCAGTGTGTTCTGTGAGAGTTGAGCACTAGTGTCAATCTGGGATGGACGGATGTCTTCATCCCCATCAGCTTCTGCCCTCCCTTCATTGCCAATCGCCACAACTTCAGCCGCTTCAACGCCTTCGCCCACCGCGTCAACCTCGCTCTCAACATCGTCAACGTCTCCTAGCAGTCCAGATTCAATAGCATGGACGACAACGGCGTCCTCACCAACAAACGAATGAACACCACCAGGACTCCATTGAGACTGCATGTCACGGGGTCGCTTGGACGTCCATCCGGCTCCGCGAGACTGACGCCACAAATGGCGGAAGTCAATGTCTCGAGCCACTGCGGCTACCGCGTCTGTTTTTCCACGGGCACTGGCCCGGATGCGCGCCATCTTGCAAATTCTAGAATGACTGGCAGTTGTGCCTTCCGCATCTGCGTATCCTTTTGACCCGTATCTCTTTCCCGATCCCTACCCCTGTTGTGTCTCTGTTCACTTTCCCTGTGACCTCTCGCATCTTATGAGTTTGAAAATATGCTGATTAAAGTATTGCCCGAGCCATTTTCTATTGTCACACGACGTACGTCGTAAGATACGACATAGTTTTTTTCGTATGGCGTAACTTACGACGTCGGGAGGGAAGGGGTGAAAGCGACAACCTACTCACTCTCAGAAAGAATTGACAGCCAATCCAAAGGACAAAGTCACTGGTGATCACAATAAACGAAAGAATAAAAAGTTTACTAACAAAACAAATGGCTTTTTTGTTACAGAATCAGAGCTCACGTGCAAGAATGGTTTGAAGACGATACAGAATTTCAGCTGCTGATGGGCGCAAATTCGGATTCATCGCAACGCAACTATAGCCTAGCTGTGCAAGCAGTGCTCTGAAAAAATTAATATAATACAATTATTATAGCATTGTATTTATTTAATAATTTATTATTGGCTTTCATAAAAGTCCGTAAAATATAAAAAATTGTCCCCGTAATTACTGTATTGATTTCTTACCAGTTGACTGGTGTGAAGGTGCCTCGACGTTGGTGGTTCTGGGGGTTAGACTCTTTGTTTTGTGTTCGTCCAAATTTAGTTCTATGTTTTCTTTCAGAACCCAACAAAACTGCTGCTCAGGCTGGCTCGTATCTTGCCATCGCAGGCTTAATTTGGTTGGCTAAAAGAACCAGCTTGGATGATAGTCACCAGCCTTCTCTGCTTCAGTGGGCTTCGAACTCAAGCCAGTGGCGTGATAGGGTCAATCTCACACCAGTGCCCCGTCCTGACCCTTGCAATACAGCAAAACAATACAGCAAAATAATTGAATAATTTATTATAGTGGATCGGTATATTGCAATGATTATTATGTGCTTCTGTGAAGCCCAGTACAATTTTTTATTTTATTGTAAGAGCACTGTGTGCAAGAGAAGGAGTTCCAGTCGTTGAGAATTCCACTTGCACTTCGACGCAACCTGCTGCATCAACGCTGTGTTCTGTAACTGCTCGACCATAAGAATCACGGTTTCCTTTTTTTGCATTGGCATACGGAAGTGTATGTACATCCAGCTCCGACAATACCACACCGAATGAAAAATGTCCGCTTTGTCATCGTAGTATTCCCCCAGCATCACCTCGGGAGCCATCCACAATGATGTACCAACGCCAGCCGTCAGAGTAGCATCGACACGCTCTTTGGAGATCCCGAAGTCCGTCAATTTCGCTTCCATTGATCGTGACAGCAAAATGTTGCGAGACTTGAGATCTCGATGGATTACGGGAGGCATCAGCGAGTGCAGGTATGCGAGTGCATGGCACACTTGAAAAGCTATCGTTACTTTCTGGCGATTGAAGCCAACTGGATGGTGTTTTTCTTCATACTGGTTGAGGAGACTGCGCAAGTTTCCTCCGTCCATGTACTCCAGAACAACACACACGTCGGATAGCGAGTCCCACGCGACACCAATGAATGTGATTACGTTGGGATGGTCCATCGCTGCCGTCATTTTGGCTTGGGCCAAGAATTGATTGACCAGTTGAAGATTTTCCCTCATGGAAGGAAGCAGCATCTTCACAGCTACTCCTCGGCCATTGAACATACCGGTAGAGACCTCTCCAAACGCACCTTGGCTGATGCGAGTCTGGATGTGTACCTTATCGCGCAGAATCCTCTTAGCAATAATGACATCGTCATCCCACAGGCCGTTAGTTTGTATGTGTGGTGCACTCGACATGAACGGCGCGGTTTGGACGGACCCAACACTTTCCGTCGGCTGAAGGTGACGCTGTCTAAATTTTACTCCGGATGAGCGTCGCCTCCAGCAGAATATAACCACACCGATGACTAGAACCAAGACAAACACTCCACTAGTGATTCCTATAATTGCAGGTGCACCAAGTTCTTTCGAAGAGGCTGTTGTAAGTGGCAATGATGACGGAGGTGTCTGCGCTAAAGTAGATTCCGGTGTTGACGTAGGTGTCCACGTTTCATTGTCGTTGCTGGAGTATCACTTCATACCATTGTTGTCACATGAGTGGTCTGCGAGTGTTGTTTTACTAACGGATAACGACGCATTCAAACTGGTTTCCGAGCATAGATTGTCGTCGTAGTAGGAGACTGAAGCAGATCCGTCGTCTGCCAGAGTTGCTACAGTGGACGTGGATGATTCCGGTGAAGCCTCAGGTGAAATCACGCAATTTCCAGATGCTAAGTAACCCCAGGCATGCTTGAAAGCGTTGCAGTCGTAATCGAGAAGCGTGAATACCAAACGGTCACTTCGTATATGACCGCCGCAACATGCATTTGCGCTATTCCGGCTAGACCCACTACAAGTAGTAGCTGTTGACGAGGCATGCGTGCAACTTAACTGTTTGAGGCGGGGGAGGGGGCGTGGCAAAATTTGAAATGAATCCATGCGCAACCGACGTCTAGCTCCAGATAACGTTGTTAGCAAGGTACGTTAACCTCGGGCAGCCCAAGCGTAGCACAAAATAAAGGACCAAGAGTATGCGCGATCCCCTAAATGGCGACTTGATTTGAATAAGCCTGCTGGATGGCGATTGCAATATAATTATCAATAGCAGAGAGTAGA